TCATTCTGAAAGCGAGGGGCTCTTTGCTCATAGCCAGCTCCTGCAAGCATGGATGAGAAGTGGCCTGTCGCTGGCGTTCACAGCAGCTTGAGTCTGTCTGTGAGCATGAACGTTTGGTCATACGTTGCTTTTATGCCATGGATGATTGAGTGAGTTAACTTCTCCACACTTAGTTTACTTGTTTACTACTAAAGTCATCTTACTCATCTTGTTACTTTGGCATCAGGCCAGAAGCTGCCCACCCATTCAGGAAGCTTCCAACAATAGAAATAATATTTTTCAATGTAAATGAGTAATTATTTATTTGGCCTATCAGCCTTATTTTGTGAAAATGAGGCTTAGAAGTTGAAAAATAAAGAATTAAACTTATTTACCAGTTGAAAAAACACATACTATAACTTCTTAAAAATAAGTTACATAAAAATCTTATTAAGCAGATGACAGTGAACTCAGATATTTTTTAATGAAGAACCTGAAGAATACTGTTACCATTTATCAATACAGTACACACTTAGTAAATAAATTGCTTTGAAGAGAATAAAAGATACAGAAAAACCCGATAAGAAAAGTGGGCATAAAACTTGAACAAGTTCTGTTAGAAGAGGAAAACAGGGCCAGTAAAAAATGAAAACATCCTCAGCCTCATTATTCATCAGTAAAGTGGAAATCAAAACCATGTTCACCTTCAGAATGGAGAAAATGGAAAGATCCGACAATACCAAGTGCGAGTGAGGGTGCAGAGCAGCAGACAGGAGTGTGTGCACACGCTCACTTTGGAAAACAGTGGGGTGTTATCTCATGAAGCTGAAAATAGGAGTCCCCACGTTAAATACTTCCGCTCCCTTGTGCAGACAGTAAGGACGTTTGTGTGGAAGCACCAGGAATCATAGGCTTCATGACAGGAAAAACTGGAAACAACCCAAATGTCCATCAGCAGTAGAACAGACAGATAAATACGGTGTTTTAATATAACAGAACATATCACAGTGCTTCCTAATAAAGAACCCCAGAATGAGACACTTACCACCTGATTCTGGCAGGAAGGGACCACCCTAGGCCCCCGTCTTGGGGCCGCCTCTTCAGGTCTTTGAACATGGAGGAGCAGAGCAGAATGTGGTTTCCCCGAGCTGGAAATGCCCACTTCTTACCCAGACAAACCAGTCATATCAGTTATTCTGCTCACCCTGGAGAGGAGGGAGGGGGAAGAAGCAGTCACCACACGCGCACTCTGATGCTTTCCTAACAGGTATCTCTGTGTCAGCGTTTGTAAAACTCCCCTCAAAGGGCTGCTGGCCCCCCAGCACCTGTCATAGGCCCTGAGCGTGTTGTTTGACAAGAGAGAGAATTCCCTCCTTGGATCTTCCTCTGCCCACAGGGCTTCCCATTCTGGAGTATCACTCAAGGACAGCATGGTCTTTAACCGTCCCCACGAGACCTTGGGAAGCTGGAGGCGTCAGCATGGTGGGTGGAGTTGGCGTCCTCAGCTGCAGGGCTTAGATTGGACACCAGGAGAGTTCACAGGGAGGCCTGGCTGCGTCTGTCTTCCAGGAGGAAGAACGTCCTGTCATTTGGAGTCGGCCTCTGGCCCCTAGCAGCCCTGACTGGGGCCAGCTCCACCTGTTGAGTGTCCTCAGTGAAGGTCGCTGACCACAGCCTCTCCTCCCAGAACATACCTGTTCCCCTTGTAAAGTCTTGGTCTCTGAGTAGCATCTTGTCGTCTCAATGGCTTGGTCTCCAAGATTTAAAAAACTTGTCGTCAGCACCTGCTGCTCTCCTCCACTCACACAGTCAGCCCCCAGAGCCCTGACCTAATGGTAGAAATGTCTATCCCAGCCTTCTCGGCCATGTTCACTGCGGCGCCTCAGGCCTCGTCTCTAGCCTAGACTTGACGGGGTTCCCATCGTGTGTCTCTCGTCTTGCCCCTAGTGCTTTCTGCACAAAGAGGACATTATGGCCTCCCATGTACATGTCTGTTGGACCCGGACATGAGAACCCACACATCTCCCCACCTGCCCCACACTAGGCTTCGCTGTCTGTGTTGCTGTCTGCTGGGCAGGGCTCCCCACCGTTGTAGGAGTGGTCCTGAATTTATTCCTGCTCCAGTGGCTTCTGGAAGCTTGGTGCACAGGAGGACTCCAGGGAGGGCAGGGCTCAGGCAGTGATGGGCTGTCACCCCATTGCTGTGTGCCATATGTGCACCTCACACATGGAAATGACTTCAGACTAGAGTTTGCACCTTTCTCTTACACTGCACTGTCAGCCTGAGCACGTTTCTAGTTGTATGATGTGGTTTTTCTGCTCCTCTGCAACTGACACAGCCATGTGCGTTCAGGGACCAGGTTCCCACCGGCCACCCCACTTCAGCAAAGCCACCTTCATGGTTCCACTTGCTTTCGAGTTTTGAGTGGATTAGCATTTGAGTTAATATTTTCACTTTGGATTTGTTTCAGAATGTGAAAACAAGGGAGAGAACCAAAATAGAGACTTGAGTCTTAAGCCATTCATTTCAGAGGAAATATCAATGATTCTGGGGAAAACACCCACAATGTGGGTTGATCAAGGAAATTATGAATCTGAGCGGAGCTTCTGCCTGAGTCCAAGCCCTGTTGGCCCCACCCAAGTTCAGGTCCTGAGCCAGAGCGTGGCTGTCACTCAGCATCAAGCCGCTCCTAACGGGGAGAGACCCTACAAGTGCATGGAGTGTGGAAAATGCTTTGGCCGGAGCTCCCATCTCCTCCAGCATCAGAGAACCCACACTGGAGAGAAGCCCTATGTGTGTGGTGTGTGTGGGAAGGCCTTCAGCCAGAGCTCGGTCCTCAGTAAACACAGGAGGATCCACACGGGGGAGAAGCCCTACGAGTGTAATGAATGCGGAAAGTCCTTCCGCGTGAGCTCGGATCTTGCTCAGCATCATAAAATACACACGGGGGAGAAGCCGCATGAGTGTCTCGAGTGCCGGAAGGCCTTCACTCAGCTCTCGCACCTCATCCAGCACCAGCGGATCCACACCGGAGAAAGGCCGTACGTGTGCCCGCTGTGCGGGAAGGCGTTCAACCACAGCACGGTCCTGCGCAGCCACCAGCGGGTGCACACCGGCGAGAAGCCGCACGAGTGCGCGGAGTGCGGGCGCGCCTTCAGCGTGAAGAGGACGCTCCTGCAGCACCAGCGGGTGCACACGGGCGAGAAGCCGTACACGTGCAGCGAGTGCGGGCGCGCCTTCAGCGACCGCTCCGTGCTCATCCAGCACCACAACGTGCACTCCGGGGAGAAGCCCTACGAGTGCGGCGAGTGCGGCAAGGCCTTCAGCCACCGCTCCACGCTGATGAACCACGAGCGCATCCACACGGAGGAGAAGCCCTACGGCTGCTACGCCTGCGGCAAGGCCTTCGTGCAGCACTCGCACCTGATCCAGCACCAGCGGGTGCACACCGGCGAGAAGCCCTACGTGTGCGGCGAGTGCGGGCACGCCTTCAGCGCCCGCCGCTCTCTGGTGCAGCACGAGCGGATCCACACGGGCGAGCGGCCCTTCCGCTGCTCGCAGTGCGGCAAGGCCTTCAGCCTGAAGGCCACGCTGATCGTGCACCTGCGGACGCACACGGGCGAGCGGCCCTACGAGTGCGGCCGCTGCGGCAAGGCCTTCAGCCAGTATTCGGTGCTCATCCAGCACCAGAGAATCCACACGGGCGAGCGACCCTACGAGTGCGGCGAGTGCGGGCGCGCCTTCAACCAGCACGGGCACCTGATCCAGCACCAGAAGGTGCACCGGCGGCTGTGAGCTCCGCGCGGCGCGGCCTGGCAGCTCGGCGGGGGCCCCCGGAAACTCAGTGTCACCGAGTGACTCCGGAGAGAAGCCGGGCGAAGCTGCAGGGGACGCCCGTTTCATCCTTCTCCACGGCTCCAAGTTGCGCAGGAGAGGAATCACACAGCTGTGGGTTTTGTAAAGACACCATAATTCTTTAACGTTAGACAGTGTATTTGAACTGAGAAACTAAAGGAAGCTAAGGCATAGGATTACTGTCGCAATAAAACTTTCTGACATTCCAAATAACCTTTTTTTCTTAGAGTATTGCGTGCCTTCCCTAAATACAATGATTATTCTAGTTGAAATTAGAAAGTTGGACTATTTTCAATATTCTGTTAAAACACTAAAGTGCTGTGTGGATAAAATATTTTTAAAAAGATTGTCATCAAGTATCATGTAGTATGGCTGGAAATCTTAAGTGTGTGGAACTACCTGTTTGGTATGCAAAGGGAAAAGTCTAGAGGTTAATTCGTGAGAAATGATGTAAATTTAGAAAACCCTTATCTAGTGCTTTAACTTTATTCACGATCAGAAGGGATGTCCTAACTTTTTAGTGAAAATTCAACTCAAAAGTGGATCTTTTCCTCAAAACCCACCCTCATGATACAGAATCTGTGGCCCCAAAATCATGGGATGTCTGTGGCCTCTGGGCTCCAACTGGACATAGGAGGGGGGCTCTGATCTCAGGGCCCAGACTCCACAGTTGCTACACCATGTGGGTGCCTCTTTACACAGTAATGGTGTTTTAAAAAAAAAAAGTTACTAAAAAGACAGTTCTTTCGTGCATAATTTTAAAACATAAAATTCTCAAATTCAAATAGTTCTTTTCACTGTCTCTAATATCACTATTCCTGTGTTTGAGGGGTTTTTTGTTTTGTTTCATTTTTTTACTCCCGGTTCCAAGATAGTCTAGTATCCCATTGTCATGTACTGTGATGCATCTGGTTTAGTCATAATTTTAGTTATTTTCTCTTTCTTGTGAAAACGTTATCAGCGTCTCAGGAAAAAGTGAGCGCTAGGGCATTGATCCTTAAGGCCACAGCCGTGCACGGTGACGCAGATAAAACCTTGTTCTCGCTTCTGCAGACAGCGGTGAGACAAGGTCACTGGATGTCATCACAGAGGAGATGAGGTCACTGTGTGTTACTTCTGAGAGGAGATGAGGTCACTGGGTGTCACATCCCAGAGGAGACGAGGTCACTGGGTGTTACTTCTGAGAGGAGATGAGGTCGCTGGGTGTTACTTCTGAGAGGAGATGAGGTCACTGGGTGTCACATCCCAGAGGAGACGAGGTCACTGGGTGTTACTTCTGAGAGGAGATGAGGTCGCTGGGTGTTACTTCTGAGAGGAGACAAGGTCACTGGGTGTCACATCCCAGAGGAGATGAGGTCACTGGGTGTTACTTCTGAGAGGAGACGAGGTCGCTGGGTGTTACTTCTGAGAGGAGACGAGGTAGCTGGGTGTCACATCCCAGAGGAGATGAGGTCGCTGGGTGTTACTTCTGAGAGGAGACGAGATCGCTGGGTGTCACATCCCAGAGGAGACGAGGTCACTGGGTGTTACTTCTGAGAGGAGACGAGGTCGCTGGGTGTCACATCCCAGAGGAGACGAGGTCGCTGGGTGTTACTTCTGAGAGGAGACGAGGTCGCTGGGTGTTACTTCTGAGAGGAGACGAGGTCGCTGAGTGTTACTTCTGAGAGGAGACGAGGTAGCTGGGTGTCACATCCCAGAGGAGATGAGGTCGCTGGGTGTTACTTCTGAGAGGAGACGAGGTCGCTGGGTGTTACTTCTGAGAGGAGACGAGGTAGCTGGGTGTCACATCCCAGAGGAGATGAGGTCGCTGGGTGTTACTTCTGAGAGGAGACGAGATCGCTGGGTGTCACATCCCAGAGGAGATGAGGTCACTGGGTGTTACTTCTGAGAGGAGACGAGGTCGCTGGGTGTCACATCCCAGAGGAGACGAGGTCGCTGGGTGTTACTTCTGAGAGGAGACGAGATCGCTGGGTGTCACATCCCAGAGGAGATGAGGTCACTGGGTGTTACTTCTGAGAGGAATGACATCACTGATGTCCTGACGCGCCGCAGAGCAGCTGTGATCAAGGCTTACTTCAGAGGAGCTGACATCACTGAAGCGGACTCCCTGAGGAGTCATTTTAGAGAGGAGAAGAGCTCACGGAGGTGCCGCCACACTGGAGCTGGGTCACACGGCTGTGACTTCAGGGCTGGAGCAAGTGTCTGTGGTGATGCTTTAGGAAGGCTGAGACCATGAGGTGACCGGGTAGAGAGGCTGAGATCACTGGGCTACTGAGAGAAGCATGGATCGCTGAGGAGTGACTGCAGAGAGGAGGTGAGATCACGCAGGTGTTAGTACAGAGAGGAGCTGCGGCCACATTTCGCACCCCCGTTGGCTGGGTCCACAGCTGGCACGCGGCCTGGAGCCCAGTGCTGCTCGGCACGATTCCTAATCATGGGGAGGAGTTAGAGTAAGAAACAGTCATGTTCCAGTCCGGATGAAAACAACAGTTCAATTAAACTCAATGTCCAGAAATACTGTTTGGAAAGACGCTCTCTGTGTATCACAGGACAACTCAAAGCACACAGTACACGTCATGCTGGATTGCTAAGTCCGCCAGAGAACCTGGGGTTTTCGGGAACATCTTTCCAAAATGTACAGTTTGCTTTCCTGCCTTCGTGAATGAAGTGTACTTGGTATCGTTCTGCCTTTTCTTGCTGTCAGCTGCCCGTGACCCATTGCGGGGCGTGCAGGCTCGGGCGTCCACGGAGCTGGGAGGTGAGCTCTAGTGCCCCCTCCCCGGGGCGGACCCCAAGGACACGCATTTTTGCCACTCACGTCCTCTCCAAGGAGCAGGAGGTAGCACATCACATACTGGAACATATGGGCAGTCTGTCTTTTGTGGAAGTGGCATCAGAGGCCAAAATGATCTTTGGGGTCCCCCTCACCCTGATAACAGCCTTCTCGGCCATTACCTCCCACCTCTGACTTGTCAGCAGTACTCCACACTTATTTTGGATTTTTTATTTTTATTTGGAAGTCTTTACATTTTATGTATTTAAATCTTTCTCCATCATTTCTCTTTATAGCTACCAAGAATTTGAACTTGGTTCTCTTACAATTTTCTGTTATTTGGAAAACATTTTAGTCCACCTGAAAGTTACTTCTCTGTACTATGTATAATCTGACATATTTTCCAATAAAAAAGCAGTGACTGCAACACATTTGTGGGTGAAGGAAGCTCAGTAATTTTGGCATAAGGATCTCCTACAAATCAGTGACCGCAGGACGTGAGCCGGCAGTTCCCCAAAAGGGAAATACAACCAGGAAAGCTTGGAAAAGGCTCGAGTGTGCCAGTTCCAAACTAAAAAACTTGCCACCTCCTCCCAATCAATTAGTAAAGTTTATCCGTACTACGCAGAGCTGTGGAGGAATGGGAAGACGGGCACTTTCACGTGTTGCTGATAACGTTCTTAATACAATCCACCTGTGCCAGGTGTGGGGCCACAATAGTGTGACCCATCTCTTCTCTGGAGGAAGATGACTGCACACCAAGACTTGGCTTGGCAGGTGCCAGGCAGCCCAGAGGTGGCCCCAAGGGAGGCCGGGGCACTCCTGTAGGACAGGCTGGGGAAGCTCAGGCCACCAAAGGCCACTCCATGCACAGAGGGGCTGATGGTGAAGGTCCAGGAGGTTCTCTCCCAGGAGTTAGACTTGCCCTGGGGCACAGGGAAATCATAGGAGGTGGTAATGAGAGCAGCACTGGGGGGCCCTCTACTCTGGCCCACCTGGATGAGTTTGGGGAACACTTGGTTTCATGTGTAAAAGTTCCCAAGCTCAGAAATGCAGGTGAGGTAAAGTTCAGGGTCTCAAAGACTGCCCTCACTTGTGACTCCAATTGCAAGTTTAGGGGGTCCCCAAGATCATCCTCAAGTTCAGTAATTTGTTACAAGGACTCCTAGAACTCACATTGAAAGCTGATATACACATGGTTACAGTGTATTACAGGGAACAGACACAGATTGAAATTAAAATTGACATTGGCCAAGGGATTGCATGGGGCAGCATCCATGAAAAGTAGCAAATTCTGAACTTCTGTTTTCCTCTCCCTGTGAAGTCTCGGACCATTACTTTCCCCGCAGTCATGTGTGACAATGTGCACGAGGTATTGCCAACAAGGAAAGCTCACCTGAGCCTTGGCATCCAGAGCTTTCATTGGGGCTCAGTAACATTGACGCAGCTGGCTGCCTGCACATCGGCCCTCAGTCTCCTGCCCCTCCAAGGTCAGGCTGATGCCACATGGTCCGAAGCCCCCACCATAAATCTCACTGTTAGGGTAGACTGTCTGGCATGGCCAAAGGCCAGCCCTCTCAGGGGGCAGGTTAATCATTTCAGCACAGGTGGTTCAGAGTAGGTCAGAGCCCAGGCCTGCCTCCAACTGCTGAGACATCGGTCCAGTCACTTCTCTTCCTGAACCTCAGGTTCTCACCTGTAGACAGGAATCCCACCATCCAGGTCATAGGGTTACTGTGAAAAATTAAATAAAATCACTGCAGGAAGACCAGCCCGGCACTCAGTTCTGTGTGGTCTGTGTGTTGTGAGTTCGAGGGACTCTGGACAGGTGCAGCCACGAAAGGGGGTTGGAGGCCATGGAGAGGAACGGGTTGGGGAAGCAACTTACCCCCCAACAGGGGCCAGCCGAATGCTCCACAACCCCAAGGTATCTTGGAGAAGCTAGTGATGCATGCAGGAAACTGAGATGGGGCACAGCCGGCCCTAGGCAAGGCCTCATTCCCTTCTTAGCCTGAGAGGCCACACAGCCACCTCCAGTGGGGACTCAAGGAGAGCCTAGAGGCCACTAGCCCCAGTGGGCACCTGTGGACTGGCCCAGCCTGAGTACAGAGGTGAGAGGGCCCAGATCCAGCTCCCAGCAACTCTCTGGCACAGATCTTACATCCTGCCTGGGTCTCCCTGCCCCGGGAGTACCCGCAAGGCCAGCCATAAAGGCCTAGGACATGGGGCACCATTCATGCACACAGTAAGCATGACCCCACCCAGCCTCAGCACTACCTTCAGGGTGGGTCCATTACCTCTCTTTTACCCAAAGATGCTGATTCAAGACTCCTCTGACAAGCCAGGGTCCTCAGCTGTCTGACCCTCTCCCCATCTCCTGACTCACTGCTAGCTGCCCAGAGCTATTAACAATTATTAACAAGCAGCCCACAGTCTGAGATGACATCACTCCCAAAGGCCCTCTGACACCAGCAGGGTGACAATTCCGTTTCTGATCTTGTGAGCTGAGGAGACAACAGGACGGCCACAAGGAGTTAGTCCACCAGATGCCCAGGAGTGACTGCCCAAGATGGCACAGTGGAAACATCTAGAACCAATAGAGCCCTTTGCCCATGTTCCCTCCCCACCCCTAGACAAGACTGACACTGGGCCCCTGTGAAAGTGTGGTAAGTCATGCTACCAGCCCTCAAGTCAAAACCAAACAACCAAGAAAATCTGTCAATCCATACGTTCTCTAGTTTTGTACAATGGGAAGAACCAGCACATTTTTCTTTTTCTGGGTATACTTTATAAAAATATGCTTCTTCAGACTGCAGTACCCCATTACCCCTCCCTCCCTCTCCAGCCCTTCCACCCAGGGCTGTAGGGCTCCCTTCAAGGGCCACAGTCCCTTGACGTGCCACTGGCTCAGGGGGCATCCATGCTGACAGGACGAAGGAGTCCCAGAGGGGGATTCTTAACAAACACCCAATGAGAAGCATCTGGGCCACAAGCAGTAACAGGGCAAAGCACATGAAGGGAGAGGTGGTTCCTACAGAAACTGACGTGAAGAAACACAGGTTCCCTGAGTAATCAAACTCAGTAACCAGTGGCAAAGACGTGCCTACGTAATTAGCAAACAGAGGGTAAAAGTACAACATCCAGTGCAGGGAGTTTGTGCGGAAATCACTGTTCTCTACTCAGCTTTGCATCCTGGCAGGCAGGGAAATGGTCTTCCAGGGGTTCAGTGCTGGTGACGTTATATATTGGGTACAGCCACTTTGGAAAGTATTTACATATAGTCATCAGTGTCCTTTAAAAAGTTCATCTTGTTTCTAGGAATGTATCCTAAAGACATAGTTTGAAAGAATAAGTTAAAGGCATGAAATTAGTCACTATGGAATAATATATGTCCAAATGTTAAGTTTTATAAACTAAAATATGTCAACTAGGGGACTGGCCTGGTGGTGCAGTGGATAAGTGTGTACATTCTGCTTCGGCAGCCCAGGGTTTGCCGGTTCAGATCCCTGGTGCGGACATGGCACCACTTGGGA